ATTGTCGGATTCGGGAGAACGTTCTGAAATTACTGCTTTCGACCGTGAATCGATTCCTTCGATTAAATCGTTTTACGAATTTTCGAATCCAGTCATAGTCGAGGCAACAATAGAATTGTGGCTTTCCCAATATTTTCAAATTCCAACGATAGAACGCATGATTATTTCTTTACTCGTACAATTGAAACGGTTCAACTGTTTTGCAAAATGAATTCTGCAGTACAAAGTCTATACTGTCATTGTTCGCTGACCCACCCTCGAGAGTCGCTATCTTATTTCCGTTCCACCCTGTTCGATCGACCGCTTCCATTCTTTCTTGCGAGTTACAAGGAATTACTCGAAACCACTAATGTTCTTTCGCGATGTCGGTTTTCTGGAAGTATCGACGAAACTCGTGTGCATCGCCGTCGACGTCGGCCGAGAGGCCAGACGGGACGCAACCAGACGAGACGGGACGGGACGGGACGGGATGCGATTAAACACGGCCCGGCACAAATACGATGACTCTACGATTCTTTGTTATTCATGATATTCCGGCGAATACGCCGCTTTCCGTGCTATAGTTGCCGTGACGTCATTAGTCTTCCATTGTATTCGATGACACGCTTCTAAACCGAACTTCGATATATGGAATTATAGTTGCCTCGGGAATCGTGGGCCGTTCCCTCTGTAACGCGCAACGACAACGTCTCACGGACAAGCGGCCTGCACACAAAGCCCTCTTCACTCCCTCCCTTCCGCCGGCCTTCCCTCCGCCCCTAACCCGCGGTCCCTCCCCTCAGCCCCGCTAGCCCGTTCCGAAGCAATGGATCGTGGTGAATCCGTAAACCGTGGCGCGCGGAATGAGAACCGCCGCTTCACGTTCCAGGTTTTCGGGGCGGAGCCTGGAACACGGTTCCGTCGATACGACGACGGGAAAACTTGAGAAAACGGCCGTCTTAACGCGTCGAATGTCGGAAGATTTTTCACGGAGCAATGGAAGGAAACGAATGACGCGTCGTTATTTCCAATCCTTTAATTAAATCGCGCTATTGTTGTCGCGCGTTACCGAGTTAAGCTACATTGTTTACGACACGGAGAGGTTTTCGAGTAATTACCGTTTAATTCGGCGAGATATAGTAGTTCGAGTTGGTTGGTCATCGGTGACCACTGTGGCATTCGCCTGAACCGTTTCGGAGTGCCGGACACGCCTACTTTTGCCACAAAAAAGTGGCAATAAGGCCGGCGTATAGACTCGAATCGAGTTGATTTATTTGTAGTGTCTTTCTAATTTCCTGGCTAGGAATTTGAAAGAAAGCATAGTCACGCTGTCAGCGTTTTTCCTTCGCATATAATGTAGGTCTGGCGGTAGCCGCCTATCGCAAAGTCCAACCGAGTTTATCTATTTGCTTCTGTTCGCGAACGTTTCCCGGTTAGAAACCGGCAAGCCGGACCGCGCGTAACGTTGCTCGGCACGAAATTCGAAAAATCTATTTCCGCCGGCCGTCATCTCGGAAGGAAAAAACACGGTCGCGCTCGGCGCGTTTCGAGCAAACTCGCGAAGGCCCATGCCACTGGAACAGATAAACCGATTGATACCAGGCCCCCGCCGCGACAGGCGGAGGATAAAACGCGGAAACGGTCGAAGGCTCGGCGACGCACACGCGCGTATCCGCGCCATCGATCGCGCTCCCTTAAGCGAAAGAAGTTTGCCGGCGGTTCGATCGCATCTCCTTCGGGTGCAGCCACGGAAACAGAAGGCTTCTCTCCGTCCGCCCCCGCGCGTCCCTGATATTTTCGAGCCGCGAATTTTCGCACGTCCCTGCGATTTCCTTTTAGCGCGCCGACTTCTCGCCGCGCCGCAGCGCCGCTAACAACTCAATGGCGTTGCCTCGGAAGGAAGACACGTCCCCGTGTTCTTTGCTCCTTCTTTTTTCCTCCGGTGATTCGTCAATTTTCACTGGACGCTCGATCGAACCTGCCATCACGCTGGGTAGCTGCGTGCACGATTCCTGGAAGATCGAGCAGCGTGGGACGACGAGGCCACCCCGCCCTTCTACGCCAATGCGCCGAGCGCCTTCTCCCCGTGGAATCCCCCACGGAATAAATTATCCGCGATTATTCGTCAATGACGTCCGTGTTATTTATCAATGATATCTACTCTCGGGGCGGCTGCTACTTCCCTGGAAATTCCTGCTCCGATCGATCGCCCCCAGGATCTACGCTTTGTATCGACTGCCCGTCGAACGGAGCGTTGATACGGGAGGCGAACGGTATTCGGTGTCTGTCCGATTGGACACCCGTTAACTCGCTAACCGTGGAATTCATTCGAAAAATCTGCCTTTAACGAGAAACCGAAGCGACGCGAAGGAGAATCGAGTAAACAACGAATTGCTGAAAACGCGAATGTTACTCTCGAGCTTCAAGGCGACGCGTATACCATTCGAACGCGGTTAACCGGTTAACGATAACAACGTTCGTCCCTTAGTGGATCTTCGCCGGCCCCGGCGCACTCTGGAACAATGCTTGCGTCGTAATTCACTGGCTCCCCTCGCATGATATGCGCGTTAGTTACGCGTAGTAAATACTAATAGCTGGACTGCACGTTTTCGTGCGATATTCAAAGTTTCGAGAGCGTCATTGGAAAAACGGAGTGACGGTGGAAATTATTTTTCCTGGCGAATTCCGCGCGTTTAGTGGAATTTCGCAGTCTCAAATTTCTCATGAGCGCATCGAAAAGCACGGTCCGCCGATACGGAGAACGGGGGGCACGGTGGAAGAGCCGCGGACGTGTTTGTACGACGGAATAAAGGCTCGTCTCGGTGTTGTTCGAGTCGGTGCGCCCCTTCGGCATTCCCGGGGCATTACGCCAATGCGCGCCAGGCCTTGTACACAGGACCCACATGGAACAGTGAAAAGGATAAGCGCGCAAGGGTCTCGGGTAGCCCGGTCGCCGAGCTCGCCAGCCGATTCGAATGACGCTCCAGGTAACCCAAGTATCAATTCTTTCGCCGATCGTATCCCCGAGTCGCCGGACTCGAGCCTGCGTCGAGTATAAAAGGAGGCCAGATGTCCCGAATGCCGAAAGAGACACGCGGGTATTACCGCGATCGCCTAAACGATTCCGTTTCCGTCCTTCACCCTCGCTCTCCGTCCGCCTCTCTTTCTCTCCGAGGCGTTTCAATCGATATCGGAAAAGCCTAGGTGGCTGGCACAATGCGCCATACTTTTCCTTTTCACTTTTTCCGCCCCCATCGAAAATGCGATCCGAGCGATCCGAGCGATCCGAGCGAACGGCGCGGGCTGCGGGGCGGCCGGGACGGAGGACGACCCGATTTCCCGTTTCCTGCGGGGCCGACTGAATTTTGCGAGCACGCGCTGTTCGGCGAAAGTTTAAAGTTTTCGTTGCAACAGCTTTTAACCTTCGTTGTTGACATTGGCATTGACCTTGCGCGAAGAAGTTGCGCTTTCGCGCCGGTATCGAACAATGTTGAGACCCGTGTAGCCTGGATGTCCTCCGGGATGGGTTTCAGGGTGCAGAGGCGCCCTTCCGACCCACCTTGGGCGGACGGGTTTCGTCGTGCGAGAAATATGCTGCTAATTTCGGGATACACGCGGAAAGCAGCGATTTTTATGGGCGGACGTACCGCGGGCTGATTAGAGGACCGATCTAGAGAAGGTTGGGCCGAAGGGGGAATAGTTGGCCGGGATTGCGACGGAATAACGAGACTCGATTATTCCGCGACGCACAATAACTTTGGGGATTACGTCGATAAGCCTCTGGTCCACCCTAGTGTCTCGCAGGATTTCGGCAGGATGAAGACTGGTTCCCTGCTCGGCTGGAATTTCTCTGTTCCTTTTATCACTAGTTCTAGTGATAACGTGGTTCCTAGAAGCGGAGCAATTTTATTGGACGGTGGGCGTAAGGGTGGTTTCCATCGAAAATTCTAGTTTGGCTATCTAACGGATCACCGTTTCGAACGGAGGACATTCTTTCTGTGTACAGTAATTATGCCTGAAATGTTTCTCGTTATTTAATTGATGATTTCAGATAAATTGTAGATGTTATATGTATATGTACGTGAACGTATATACATGTGTGTACACGTATAGTGTCGTTTCGTTTAAATGTCCCGACGGACAAACGACCGAAGCGACATCTCTCCACTGCACGAGGTGTTGTCTGCTTTTTCTATGATGAAGGCATGAATGAAATACCGCAAAAGTGTTTTCACGCAAAGCGTTGTTGAAAAGTGCTCTGTTAAAACCGTGTATGTTCAATGTGAGTCGCGAATCAGTGTTCCGTGTACTATGTATTACTTAGACGTTTCTCTGTTAGTACATTCAATCTCTTTTAAGATTTCTGTCGAAGCATACGTAACCTAACCTATATTCCATGCTCGCTCGAAATAGGTTAGATAGAAGCAAAAGTTCGTTGGTATTACCGATAATGTATCAAAGAAATAACTTGATTTGTTTAAATTCTAGTCGAGAATTGCTTGCGATTGGTCACTTCCAACGCTATCGCGTTTTTTACCCTGATCAGCGTGGGTATCGTAATCTGATGAAATAGTTTTTCATTTGTGAAGGTTGTCGTTTGTTTCTATCGGTAGCTTCGTAAGTGGATGCGATGATCATTGCATTTTGTATTGGTTAAGAGATAGCGATCGAATTGTTGAGAAGTATTGTTACACGTTTACGTAACATTGTGGATAGTAACGAGATATACTCTGTAACTACAATAAATTCTTTTTACTGTTTTCAGAGAGCTACCGCATAATCCTAACCGCGAAGTGTCGCGAGTATTTTTGAAAAAGAATATCCTGCAAACTGTCAAACAACTGTATGGGGAGGAAGGCACCAAGTCAAAGATCGATATTTTGAAGTACGATTCAGAGGAACACAGATTTATCTTAAGGTGTCCGGATGACTGTTACGTACGTCTAAGGGCAGCACTAACACTTGCCGACAAGTACGAAGGGGAGCAATGCGTGTATAGGATACATCGAGCTACAGCAAATTTATTATCATTTTCCGCTGATAGCAGAAATTATCAGCATTAATTTATAGAGAAAAAAGATATATTATAGTTGGAAAGAAAAGTTTGTATAATATTTTTGCAACTTCTTGTGCTAAAAAGAATATACATTCGTTGCATGTTTGTGATAATTGATCAAATATGCCACTAACTTATAAGGAAGGAAAAGATACTATTATATTTGCAACTAAGGAAGATCATGCGACACCTAGTAGTATAGATCTTCCTGAACCAGAACCGAGTCCAGGTCTGATATTGCCTAATGGAGAAATCAATTGGAATTGTCCTTGCCTTGGGGGCATGGCTACTGGACCATGCGGATTAGAGTTCAGAGAAGCTTTCTCGTGTTTCCATTATTCCAATGCGGATCCTAAAGGTTCAGATTGTTACGATGCATTTAAAACTATGCAGTCATGCATGAACCAGTACCCAGCATTATATGGAAAGCACGAGAACCTGGATGAATTTGATGAAGACATGGATCCAGAAGAGCTTTCTAACCATAAGGAGGGTGACAGTAAACTTTCTGACCAACAGAATCCATTAGAATCGAAAAGGGATGAAAGGTCAGAGCCTTCTAGTACAAAAGTAGATATAGAAAGAACTAATGTTCATTGAGTGTTCGTCATCTTGCCATTAAGCGAACAACGTGACGCGATCACGTTAAATGGCACTTAGAACAAATTTTTATCGGGACTTAATGGAATAGGATATCTGTAGTTCTCACAATGCATAGATTGTGTGACACGCTATGTTCGAAGGAAATAAAGTATTCGTATTTTTCTCGTATTTGCGTTCTTTACCTTCTGTAAAATAATTACAAAGACAAAGTTAACGTTATCGCTGCAAAGAGCAAACAATTTTTTTTTCCTTGCAAGTTCAACTATTTATTTCTCGTTTGAAAAACAAAATGGCAGAAGCAAATACGCAACGAATACATTTGAATTTCACATTGCCTCGTTTATCTATTTCGTGTTGTATGTATCTTTCGTTATGTACGATAAAAGCTAGTAAATAAACAGTTCTTAGACTCACCAATCAGTCCTCTTTTGAGTGTGTCCCGTGACGCACAGCTTTGGAATTAAGATAACTTTTCTTTTCTTATCCTACAATATTGGGGGTTCGGAGCGTCCTACTTGTTCCTCGCGCGACAATGGTTTGTTTGACGTCATGGCCGTTCGATGGCGGTAACTACAAGGGAATTGGAACGAATCTACTCCGACGTCAACTTTTCCTTCCATCCCGTCCCTTCGGATAACTGACATCGTATGTATCTTCCAAAAACTACGTTATTCGGAACAAAGCAAGTCTTAGCATGTAGCTTCGTGGATAGCTTATTGGTCGATCGAGCATGTACGGATATCGATATCGCATCTGTGATGACATCGATGGCACCTCATACTTCTCGATTGATACTGTATCACCAATGGTTGCAATGAATGTTACCGTTATAATTTTGAATATATTATTATTAGTTCCACATACGTCAGACTCGCTATGTCAATCGTGAACTTGAAATCATTTTCTTCCGTCGTTTAGGCGTCGTTGCGTACTTATTGTTGGCGAAACGTTAACAACTTGTTGAACTAACTACCGATTCCTCAAAAAATGTTGAAGATTTTGAAACATTCTACTTATTCGTCGCGCGCCAACGTTCTGGTTGACGTCACGGCCGTTTGATGGCGGTAACTACAAGGAAGATGGAACGAAAGCAGCGTGACGTCAACTCCCTCTCCCGCCCCAACCCTTTAGCAGCCCTGGTCCCGTGTATACAACCTCCACCACCACGTCGCGGTCGTTTACCACCACTACCATTGTAACGAGCCTCACTACCACTACGCTAACCTCTTACCCATCGTCATCGTCATCGCCATCACACCATGAGTTTGGCGTTCGTCGTACGTTTCATACGGATAGTGGAAGGATGCGGCTTCGTTTCGATGCGTTAGTAGTTGGAAACAAGCTCAGGTAACGTTGTGTCGCGTCAAGTGAACAGTGTACGTTCGGTGCAACGATTCTCGATAACGCGACAGAGAACGCAAACGAGTTCGCGCGAGCAAAGTACGGTGAGGGACAATTAAGACCAGGAATCATTCGAACAATTTCCGTGGCGGAGGTGCACGCTGGATACGTTCCTTGGCAGTGACCGAGAGTGTCCCGGGGTGTAGTGCCGTCTGAATAACTGTCTTCAGAATTCTCTGCGTTATCATGGAGCCACCGAAAAAAGAGAAGAAACACAAGGAGAAAAGAAGGTGAGTCTATCATACCGGGAGCAGAAACTTAGCGCACCCGTATGGGGCATTACCTCCTATACGTATAGAATCGTTTAGAAATTCTATCAGCGAGTTCGAGTTAGCAGTTGCATATAGTGAATCTAGCTAACCGCGATTGGTATCCATGACCGTGCACAAGTGTCTAAATCCCTTGGAATCGACGAATACCAACGAACGAATTCAGTGTATCGCGCGCGCGCGCGCATGTCGCATCGGGTATATGCGTGAAGGAGTGAGTGCGTGTTTGACGCAATCGCGTTTCCTCCGACTCGAACGACTCTCTCTCTCTCTCTCTCTCTCTTTCTCTTTTTCTTTCTCTCTTTCTGTTCACGTTTAATATTTTTTTTGGCTTTCTTCTCTCATGACTGTTTCTTTTTCCCTGTTCGTTCCGTTGCACCAGCCATTTATGTCGCTTCTTTTTAATAATTTCATCTGCAACTGTAGCCACGATTCAGGGCCGCATTATGGTGTTTGTAGGCCCTAGGCAATCTGGAATTCGATCCATCCCCTGTCTCTTAACTCGGTGTGCTACAAAACTGTTTTGGCGACCTTTTTTATCGTTAATCCTGTTTTCATTGGCCTTAAATGTACATGTGACGTATACACAGTCATGGATAAAAGAGATAGAGGGAGAGAGAGGGGTACGAACAAAGCAAACAAAATACATGATTGATATATTGTATTATAAAGAAATCGAGATAATTCCCATTGACTCGGTAGAAATTCGGTGGATTTCCCCAAGCAGCCACGTTAGCATGCGGTAAAACTGGTGGCCGTCCTAAGGGGTAGGATCCGCTGGGTGGGGAACCGACGATTTCTCTTTTCTTCCAATTTAAACGGACCGCCATTCGTATGGAGGTACACACATGCATACTGTATCCCTTGTGGTTGCATTCGACGCAGTGTCCTCGCGATACCGGAGTTCCTCTGGAATATTTCCATTCTAAAACGAAAGAGCGAGCTCGTGAGTCTGAACCCTTTGCCATAATCAAAAATAGAAAACGGGGCGAACGAAGCACGTACTCCCCGGTTTTGTTATTGTTTTCGTCTCATTCTGCGTGCACACCGCGTGTTCATTCTAACGCGGTTTGGCAGTACGTTCATTAGAAGGGCGCTGATGGTACTTGTCGCGATAGAATTGTGAAACGAGTTAGGCGACGGCGCCATAACCTAAAAAACCCACGGTGGCCGAGGACAGTCGACGTGGGATGTGTTCGAAAACGATCGCTCTTGATCGGAACTGTGTTGTTCTGTCTAGCGTGTCGTGACTGCCGTCTTGGAAACTCGCGCGCGCTCGTGTCCGATAGACGTTTCTTTGTCTAACATAAAAATAGTCCGCGTCTTTTTCTCGGAACCATTGAAATTCAGATAAATCCGGAGCGCTGCTGTCACGCGCGCAGTGTATGTTAATTTCCAGGCGTCGCATAATCAGAGAAACTAACGAGATAAAGCGTTGCTGACAGTTGTCATGTATCGATGTCTGTCCAGCGTTTTCTATTCCACGAACCTACAGCTTTTTCCTACGTTTCCTCTGTTTGCTCCGAATTCCCAAAATTAAAAATATGATTGCGAAATAATTGAACGGAACCAAATGACTTGTCAATAAATCCGTAGCTCGAGTGATGGATATTTATTCGTATGTTTATTTATCATTATGCGAGCCAGACTTTCTACCGTGAAATGCGATCATTGTCTAGCCAATTTGCATAGAACAACCACAATAAAACAAATCACGTGGCTCATTCAGAAATGCGATGCGACGCTAGAATTTTCATGCTTTGTTGAAATAACGTTTCGTTTATCGAAGGCGAATAAGAATACACATGCTTTTATTCAGCGCACTTGACCAACTCGGAAGAATAGAAGATAAGAAAAGACATTTTCCATCTGGGAAACATTCTTGGATGGCACCGTTTTAGAAGGAAGCCATTAAAATAAATGTCCCTATTCACAGCTGTGTTTCCATTACCGACCGAGTGATTTCTTTCATGAAATAAAAACGCCTGAATTCAAACTATTTTAGTTGTTTGTTTACTCGTTACTGTTCGACCATTGTTTTCAGTAACAAGTGCAATGAGTGTAACAGTTTCACGGTACACTTGTTGACAAAAGATCAGACGATGATTACTAAGGTTAGGTTCGAGGAATAGATACGTTCGAACCCGTTAGTTTACATAACAAGTTTAGTAGAACCATAAAAGGCATTTCACATTCATTATTCATCATTTTCTCAAGTTTAAAAACATCGGAAATGGGATTTTTAAGCAGGATCATTCACCTTCTAGTGATATTTCGTCCACTATAGTAAAAACTGCTGTTCGGCGGGAAACCATCGCGATGGCGTGAGCAGTTCAAAATACGAATGTAATTATGAACTTCACGACGCCAGTAGCGCTGTTAAGCAGCCTCGTCTTAAGTGACGTTTCACGTCGATCAAATGCTAATTAGCGAATCGCAGGGACGGGAAATCATAATTGAAAAACGTGAAACGCTCGATATTACAAAGAAAAAAACAGAAAAAAAGCGAACAACAATCCGCACAAAGTACAACTGGTTGCGATGCACGAAAGATGCATGGAATATTTCTATCGCGGGACACGTCCGGAATAAAATATCGTCATGTTGACTGGTGTGTTACGTTAATCTGTAATCACTGTGTAGTCACGGTACGCGTATAGGTAGTCCGTGAGGAAGGGAGACGAACTCTCTCTCTGCTTCGGGCGGGACGTAAATGTGTCGATATACGTGCACGGACATACACGCGCGCGCGCGTGTACACACAGATACGACCGGTTCGTCCCATCCGCCGACCGAATATAACGACGCGATGGCCTTCTGGAAACTTTCTTTTCCAAATTACACCCATCGGAACCATTAACAGTTGCTCGTTTACGCGTCACTGGAATTATCGAATTCAACAATGTCGTTGCCTACGCCTACCGAGACTGTTCCAGAAAACATTTCTTAATCGAAACAACATTAGCACTCGGCGTGACAAAGTTACAAATTGCACTCGATCGAATCCAACGATGCAGCTACCCATCTGAATCGAAATTGCCCGAAAAACATTTTCCGATGCAATAACATAACAAACGGCGCTTTGGTACCGTTATCTGGGTCTACCTTACGAATCGGATCCCGCCGCTACCGCCATCTTTAATTCTCCACGGCCGAGAGAACCGAACTTCTAATAAGAATGTTTATTTTCGTCGGCGTAGGTGAACGCGGCGCTTCCAGGCCCAAGAAAGCACGCCGGATGAGTTTCTTTTTTCAGCCGAGCGATTCTGCTTAATCATTTCCAAGCGACTCGATTCCCGGAATCGGGACAATTAACGGCCGCGAGACGGAACGTGCGCGCGTGTCCGCCGGATAAGATAGGTGCGCGGCGCTCGTTCTCGATCGCTTAATAACCGATTGAATTCTAACGATCCGACGTCGTTCGTGCGTGTATCCCTGCGGCCGGTTACGTCTGACGTAACGGTTTGCAGCGGTACACGGTTTTTCGGGGGAAAACCGCCAGGCCGATACTGCACTGGCTACCGGGGATTGGTTTGTCCTCGCTCACATGTGGCCGGGCTGCCGCGTGTCGTCGCAGAAACTGTACCGAGGATGCACCGACCACGCATTTCGAGCGTTTACGAGCACTGTCACCTTCGTCGTTTCGCGAACAACTGCAGTGTTGCGGAAATGGTCCGGTTGCGGTCGTGTTTCCGCCTGATACAGTGCAGTCTCGATTCTCGGAGGTGCTTCGAGGATATTTCAGAGCGATAGTCTAGTTTCTGCGAACGGAACAACTCCATGATACATTGGACTGCGGAGAAAAGAGCAACGCTCCGTTTTGTTGCATGCGGAGATGAATTAAGTATGGAACTGATTCGAATAACTTAAGTTATGCTATTACCGATCTTCCACTGTATCGCAAACCTCTGCATTAGCTGTGGCAAAGTTTGTCACAATAGCAGCCATACGTTAGATCTAAAAGAACAAATTGTTTGCCCTGCATCACCAGACTCGTTACTTCATGATGCGTCGATCTGGTGTTTCGCGTAATCGGTCTGTAAACGTTCAACATTAGCCGTATCACGCGTTTCGTAACGCTGAAGAATGGAATCACGTGCTGATATCGTTGCACCGGTAATACTTTGTCTGCTTTCTGCTACTATGTTGCAGTTCTAGTTGTATGTTTTCCGACGGTATCGTACGATGTTTGCGCAACGCAAGACGTGCGGATAACCGAGATATAGTACAGCCGATCAAGGCCGATCGATATAGGCACGTGCCAGTCCCTAATCCGGTAGTAGCCGTGGGATTCTGCGAGCGTGGACCGTTGCGAGATTTCGACCGCGTGAAATTCATCGACTCCGCGGCAGACCGATTGTTAGACTTCGGTGTCTCGTCTGAATTCGCCGTTTACAAGAACCTTGGACTACTTACCGAACCCGAAATCCGTAAACACTCTCTCGCTCGCCATGGAACCCATGTGAGTCGAAGGCACCGCATGTACGCGATACTCTAGCGCAAGTGAAATCTATAGAAAACCTTGTTCAGATCCTTTCCTAGCTTCTTTAACCCGTCCGCTGCTAGGACTAGATTCAGCCGAGCGAAGGAACCATCTCGAATGTTCGCGAATCTTCATCATTAATCGGTTCGTTCCGATAGGAATAAAGCTCGACCCGCGCGCGTCGCCGTTGCGGCGCCAGCCGAGTGCAAGGGGTTAGCTATTCCACGAACGCGAGGATCGACAAAGCAAAAACCAAGTGCGGAATAGATCACGCGCGAAGATGCTGCGATCCTCGAGCAGCAAAGGTGGAAGGTTCTTTCGACGTGTCCACGGTTTCGCGTTCGTGTCCGATGTAGGCAAATCGTCTAGCATTCGGAATGTCGAAGATTCTAACTTAAGACCTGCCCCGTTCGAACGGCAATGTTCCATAATTTGTACGAAAGATCGACAACATGTAACGATGGGCAAATACGTCCCATGGATTTCACAATACCGAAGGAACAGTGACGTTAGTGGGATCTGCCGGGCAGTGGGCATCGATTGAACCCGATTCGTCGAGCGATCGAAGGTGAGACGCTTCCGTCGCTGCGTCCGCCGATATGTAGTATCGTTATCGTCGCGATAGCGATCGTTTCAAGTGCGCGAGAGACGGCTGGGCAGCGAGTTTCGGCTTCAGTAGCGCGTGAACCGTGGCCGGGATTCAGGGTAGGTCGCATCTGGCCGCGAAACCAGTGAAACTGTTGCGGCCCGGCGCGTCGGGACCAGACATGCGATTCGGGGGTAGTTAACGACGCTGCCTCTAGGCACCTGGTAGTCCCTAACGGGGGATCGTCGGACTCAATCCAGCCAGCCGCGGGCCAAGGAACCGATACGCTGGATCGCGATAGGGTTTGACAACACACTGCCGAGATAACGCGTCGTAGAACTGGCCGGAGCAGCGAACGGCGGCGGGGCGGAGAGGGTGAGATTCTTCGGTCGGCTCCGCGAGGAAGCGGCGCTCCCGTTGGAAAGTGACTCTAGCCCAGAAAAAGAGAGAAGAACGAAGGAAGGGAGGAGGGAGCTCGGCGAGCGCGTGGGCCAGCGTTCCACGATAAAAAAAGAACAACCTGGCCTGAACAGGCCGGAGAAGAAAAAGAAGAAAACGGAGAAGTAGAAGTGGCCCGGTAAATTCGGGACGAACTTTTATTCGTCGTAGCGAGTAACGGGAAGAGAGGGCCACGGCGCCGGCGTTTAACGGCGCAGTAAAATCCGGAGAAAGCGGGCGGAGTCTCCGGGTGGGTCTAGAGCCGGAAAAGGGATAAGAGACGATGACCGTGCCACGTGTGCAGCCGTTAGATAGGCTGCCCGATAATGAACCCGGTCGTTGCTCCGATTCGGCCGGTAGGCGACCCGGCTACGTCTACGAGGATCGGTCCAGCCTGCCGCCCTGTCGATTCCAACCGGTCGAGCGCGTCCACGAGCCACCCGGAGCGAAATCCGTTGCTCTGGACGTAGCTCTTTACGACGTGTCGCTGGCGTGCCTCGAACCTTCGGTCTGCATAGACGAGCTGCCGTCGTTCTGCAGCCAGTTCGGCGGCTGCTCGGTGAACAGCTCCGGCCCTAGCGCCTCGAGGAACTGCCAGCTAGGCCCGGTGGACCTGGAGGATCTAGCGTTATGCTTCGAGCCCGAGAAATCGCAGACTGTCTGCCCGCCGCCTAGATCGCCGGCCAATTCGTCGCAGTA